CATGTTGGGGATGACAACCACTTGACGGTCAAGGAGCCCCATGGGAGCAAGACCTCTGATGTCCCCATGGAAGCCCAGATCCTCCCCTCCAGCTTTTCTGTCTCTCCTGGCCCTCACAAGGCAGCGGGAGGACTGGGGGTTAGGGAACTTACTGCTAAGCATGCCCACTTTGGATGCCAAGCCCTGTGTGCAGGGCCCTGGCCAGCAGAGGGCAGAAGCCTAGTTTGCTATGGTAGGCCAAGAAGTAGTCTGCAGCAAGGGACGGGGCCCTTCAGTAGAGGGTGCCATGCTGTCTGCTACCCTCTTCGCTCATTCTCCATCTAGAAGGCTGTGTCTGAGACCCACCTCCTCACTCTGCCCTCACAGCTCTGGCGATGCAGACATCCCAGCAGGTGACAACTTTCCCCATACTGCCACTGTTCAGTAGCAGCAGGCTGGACGTTCAGAACATGCTCATCAAAATAAATTAGATCGAATTTAGACCCTTGCCCCAGAAGGCTATAGGGCCACAGAAGGCTTGTCGTCCTAAAGACCAGGACATGCTTGGTCCTTCCTGAGCTTGGTCCTTCCTGATCCTACCACCCAGTTCCCTGTCAGGGGCCAGAGTCAAGTCTTCAGGTTACTCTGGGGCCAGGTGTGCTCTGAGAAGAATGAGTTTAGTTAGCTTCAGGGCTAGGTCACAATGCTTCAACCTTAGTCCTTTCCTGGGGCAGAATTGGTAGTGTTGTGAAGGAGTGGGGAAGTGGCCTGAGTTTCACCTTTCCTGCCTGTAAAATGGGGATTATGGTTTCTGCCCTGCCCATCCCACAGAGCTTCTGTCAAGACCTGGGGTGGGGGAGGGAGAACTGGACTAGCAAGGGGAGAGGTGAAGAGGGAAAGAAAGCTTAGTCTCGGCTGGCTTTCTCTTGTTTAAAGCCCCAGTTGAGCAACTGGATAGACCCTTAACCCAGGCTGGCCCTGTAGGCGCTCAGCTCAGGGCTCATTCCTAAAAGGGCTGACCGAGCTGGAATATGGTTTTCATGCACCAGGGAGGGCATGACAGACAGAGCAGGAACCAGGCTTGAGAACACGTCCTACCCACTTCCTTAATTCTCTGTTTCATTCCTGTCAATCACTGGCCCCAGATTGCCTGTTCCAGCCACAACTGGTTTTCCAACTGCCAAGTGTCCTGTCCATGGCACAGCAGGGACTATGCCAGCCGAGGAAGAGGACCCTGACTCTCACGAGCTTCCCCCAGGGATCTCTCCTCATTATGGCTGTCCATTATCCTCTAGAGGAGTGTGGTTTATCGCACAATGGTTAGATCAAGAACCATCAGTGTTATAAAGAAAAATGGAAAAAAAAAAAAAAAGAACCATCAGTGGCTCCCAGCGTCTACGGGGAAACTCTGCTGTGAGCTTCAGACCTCTCATAGGGTCTTTTTCTCCCTCTCCCCAATCCTCTCCATAGGACTCCAGGACCCATTCAGCCTGTTGCTGAGCCCCCTGGAATCCCACAGCCGCAGGGCGTTCAACCCTAGCTTCTAGGGCTTGCTTCTCCCGTGTGCCTCCCACCACAGGCTTCTCCGTCCCGAGTGTCAGTTGACTTGACAGTGTCTTTCTGGAATATCTCTGAGGTCCCGGAGCTACCTCTTAGGTGACCCAAGCTCCATGGGATCCTAGCCAGCCTCTCTCTGAGCCTCACCACGCCCATCTGTAAAAGAAGGAACCAGCTCCACCTCACATACCTTATAGGTAAAGATCAAAGAAGCAATAGCCAGGGAATTGCCTCTCCCACTGACTCCAGGGGCTGGGATTTAGTTAGCACAAAAAGAACTCAGCCAACAATTCTCTCCCCAAGAGTGACTCTGAGATTTGCTGGGAACAGGAGCTCCAGTACCCCACAGTCCCTCCTCCAGTCCATGAGTGACCAGGTGGCGCCATGCCAGGCTGAGTCCCATTCCTTACTGCAAGATGCAAAGCTGAGTGGTCACCCAGGGTGCCTGCCCTGGCTGTCCTGATGCAGAGACTGTTGGCCCCATGGGATGGTATTAGCCTGGCAAAGGGGTGTCTTTCTAAGGTCTCCCCATGGCCACAGTCAGAGACACACTGTCACGCTTGCTTTAGGCCGTTTCCTTTTCTAGAGAGGAAGAGGGTGGATTTCTTTCTGTACACATTTAGGCAGGAGACAAAGCAAGCTCTGTGTATCTGAGCCTTGCCTCTCCCCACACGTGTTGCTCCCGGGATTGTCACAAAATGTTCACAACAAACAGCCTTAGTCAAGTGACTGGGGGCCAAGGCTGTGACCAGATGCCTTAGAGTCACAGAGAGTGGGGACTTCCGTTGCTCCGTCCTGCACTGTCCCCTTGCAGGTGGACAAGCTAAGGCCTAGAGACCAGTGATTCATTCAAGCCCTACATTCCTAGCCAAGGTTATGTCTGGAGCCCCTCTACTGTGTGTGTGTGTGTGTGTGTGTGTGTGTGTGTGTGTGTGTGTGTGTGTGTGCATTTACATGTGTGTCCACATGTGGTAGAGGGTGCATGTAGAGGACAAAAGTCTCCTTCGACCTTACTTTTCCAGACAGGGGCTTTCACTGAACCCAGAGCCTGAATCTGGCTGACGAGCAAACCCCAGGGAGCCTCCTGTCTCCACCTCCCCAGCTCTGGAATTACAAGCACATACCACCTCACCCAACCCCTTTTCCGCTGGTCCTGGGAATTGATCCTCACGCTTTTGTGGCTAGCACTCTAACAACTGAGCCATCTTCCCAGCGACTCTCTGTATTTTAAGCAGTTCGTTAATTATTAATTTGTTCATTTATTTTTCACAGTGGTGGAGATGAAGCCCGGGGCCTTGTGACTGTTTTAATGCTGAACCACACCCTGTCCCTGCCTCTCTACTCTGGCCGGAGTGAACACCCTCCCCCCTCCAAGAGGGCAGGACAAAAGAGAGAGGATCAAGAGAAGAGGATCAAGGATCAAAAGAGGGCAGAGAGGGTGGTGGCCACAGGAGTGGGAAGGATGTGAAGGTACAGATTGGTTTGCCGGGGAGGGGGGTGGTGGTGGTGTAACTTTCTAAGGCTCCCCTCTCAGCCCTGGTTCCTGGGATGGTTTCTGGGGCTATGGCTGGTAGGCTATCAGAAGGGCATCCCCAACATAGACTGATCTACATTCTGACTCCCCAGGAACAGTTAGTTACAAGGAGCCCAGCAGCCTGGGCTCTGTTCACTGAGAGCCAAGCTTCAGTCTGAACGTGAGAGCACAGCCCAGACTCCACAGTCAGCACGCAGGGCCCAGAGAGACCTCCTGGATTCCTGTATCCCCTCGTCTCCTTTCAGTGGGAAGAGCTGAACAAGCAAAGAGAAGGGCCAGCATCATTGGCTGGACCACAGAAGTCCCTTGGCTTCCAGTCAGGGATCTCTCGTACCATCTTCCCACCTGTGACAGAGGCCACTGCTGTGAGGAGAGGCTGGCTGCCATGGTAGCTCTGTGCCCTACTCTGGGACAAGTCCCACTCAGACATTGACCCCTCAGCTGTCTTTTGAGATGAGGGCTGTAAACAAGTGCATTGGGCCTCTGCCCTTGGGTGGGACAGAGGCCGGCAGTACTGCGTTGTACTGCCCCATCCCAGCTGGGGATGATCATGTCACTGAGGGTTGGTATGAAACATGCAGCTTCTCCCCTGATCCAACTCTAAACCCACAGAATCAGCATCTCTGGCAGCCCGGGGGCGAGGGTGTGTGTGTGCCTCCCTAACCTAAACCCCTCATGAGCAAGTGACACAGTTTGATGTGTCCCCAGGGGAAGGGACCTCACACTCCTGCCCACCACTGAAGGAAGAGAGAATGGAATTTTCCACATCCTGGAATGTCAGCGGCAGTGGCCCATTTGCAAGCCCTGCTGATGAGCTAATTAGGGCTGCTCTTCTATTTCTGCTCAATACCTAAATGAGGTCACCAGCCTGGCGTGCCTGAGAGGAGCCTGAGGAGGAGACTAGGGGTAGCTAGGCCAGCAGGCAGGCTTCATCTCTGAACCTGGAATCAGAATGGCAGGAGCAACCGCATTTTCCTGAATATCGGGTGTAGGATTTGAAGTGATGAAGCCAGGGATGTCCCAGCAAGATAAGAGGGAAGGTCACCCTAGCCAGTCCAAACTGTTCTCTTGTGGCTCTTCCCAAACAGAACTCCTTGTGTCTTAGGAGCTCACTCTTCATGTCCCCCAAAAGACCAGCCTCTTGGTCCTTTGGGTGCTCCTCAGTCAGCATCAGCAAGCCCTGCCCCCCCCCCCAGGTGGCACAGGGATGTGTAAGTGTCCAAAGCTGCTGTCTCAATCTGGCAGTCACTCCTGAGGCATTTCTACTATCCCCAACAACCAGGCTCAGGAAATCATGATTGCATCACCCCCAAATGTCTCCACTGTGCCCCAAACCCTGGGCTCTCGCTTTATGGGTTCATCTAGTGAGCTCTCCATTGAATCAAATGCGTTATATTGGCCACACTGGGCAGCAACATGGCACCCCACAGCGGGGATGGGTTTTAGTGACTATGTTTACAGAGCATGGAATCGAGGCATCAAGGGCAGGGATTCTTCAGGGTGCATTTGGCAATGTCTAGAGGTGTTTTATGTTTATCATACTCGGAGCCACTGTGGACAGCCCTGCCGTAAGTAGCCTCTGCCTGAGAGACCCTGGTGAGGGCACTCAGCTACCACCAGGCAGCCTGGGTTTGAATTCTAATCTTTGTCCACTTGGCTCTGTGAGCTGGCTCTCATTTTACATGCAGAAAAGCTGAGGCTTCAGAGGATGAGCACAGATTCTCATCACTAACACATACAGAGCTGGGCCATCCCTCCCTGTCCAGATTTCTGAGGCTCCCGTGCTCCCGCTAATCCTCCTTGCTGCTGCCTTCCTGGGGCCATGGTGTCCCTCCAGGATCCCCTCTTCCGCCAGCTGCCCTTGATAGACCCCAGACCCAGGGTACTACCTTCTTGAGGGGGTGCCCCAAGAACCCAGACTCCAGTCCAGTTGATGCAACAGCACGAGGTTTTTATTGAAGCGGCTGTACAGATGGGCAAACTCTGCTCCTAAGAGCAAGAGCCGCATCTTACTGCAGCCCCATGGGGACTTTTAAAGAAAAACCCACAAAAGCCATAAGATTACAATTCCCATACAATTTCGTTTTACAAGATCATGGTCTGATCACAGAGTGGGTACAGTCACTTCCGCATGTACATTCTTCCTGAAACCTCAAGGGGGGTATCAGGGCGAGAGTGGAGTTTACACAAAGGTCACAGTGGTCCTTCCTGGAACACTTGCAACTATCCCAGTCACAGTTGAGCACATCTCTTAACAGAAATCTTTGTACATTGTTACAGGTTGAATAATGGCTGAGTCAGGTGGCCCTTGGAACTAGTTTTCTTTTTAGTTCCTTATTTCCTGGGGCTTGGGGGTGTAAGCCTGAAGGGTTAGGGTCTTTCACCCTGACATGTAGTGGGTGGCAAGGCACCTAGTCATCCCCAGAGCTGCTTCTGAGAGAGAGGCTGGAGCAGCGGCTATAATGAAGTTGGCACAGTAGGTACACATCAGAACTGTCCCAGTAAACAGAAGCAGGGAGCTCCCTGGGCAGATCCACTGTCACATGTCCACCGAGCAGTCTCAAGTGTGACCTCTGGTCAGGATACAAAACCCCATTGGCTCCTTGGGCACTTCCTGTCTCACACAATGACAGGCAACAGCCCACCCAGACCTGAAACAGACAGGGGTAGAGGGCTCAGACCCTTATCGCCCACACCTTGTCAATCACTCACTGCACACATCAGGTCTGTCTTGGGACCACCCTGGATCCAAATCTATCTATGTTGATTACCACTGCCCTGACTGGTCTAGAATACCCCAAGCTATAGCTGAAGCAGACCCATGTTTTCATTTTGTTTTGTTTTTTTCCCAATGCTGAGAATCAAACTCTAGGAAGACAGAGGCAGCTGCTGGAGTTGGGGGAGAGAATAGATAAACAGCAGCTCGAGTGAGAGGCAATACAGTTGAGATCCATTTTCTCACAGATAAGCCAGGCGAAACCCACAGAGAGGCAATTCACACCACTTAGGATATGCCATTGCAAAAGCAGCTCTCACCTTAAAGGGGATAGGAGATAGATGCTAAATTTGAGTTACCATGGCCCAGGAACACAGATTTAGGATACCCCAAACTCCATGTTCCAACCGAAAGGAGTTTTGTGAAGAATGAAGAAAGTCATAAATCACGGTGCTTTTCAAATACTTTGGTGGAGACGTCACCGAGACGGTTGTAGCAAAGCAGAGAGATCCCAGCCATGGGCCTCGGATGCTGTCTAATGACAGTCTTTGCTTTTGGGTTGGTGGAAGCTAGTGGTCTGCCAAGTCAACACATTCCAAAACTTTTTATCTGTTAGTCTTAGAACATTAGGTCCAACCCAGATGTGGGCAAGGAATGGCTATTTAGGGGACCAGAGATAGCTCAAGATAATTGTTATTAGGCCCTGGACCTGTAACATTCCAACCTGTCCACAGTCACTAGAGTTCTAATCAGTTAATTAGCTAGCCTTGCAGAAGGTTCGGTGGGAAGCAATTCTTCTTCTTCTTCTTCTTCTTCTTCTTCTTCTTCTTCTTCTTCTTCTTCTTCTTCTTCTTCTTCTTCTTCTTCTTCTCTCTTCCCCTTCTCCTTCTCCTCCTCCTTCTCCTCCTTCTCTTCCTTCTTCCCTCCTTCTCCTCCTCTTCCTTCTTCTTCTCCTCCTCCTCCTTCTTTTCTTCTTCCTCCTCCTCCTCTTCCTTCTACAGATGGATACAGCTAACAGGGGACCATAAGCTACAGTGCAGACATGCCAAGGCTAGAAGGCTTGTACCCTTCTGGGGCTGCCAGGCAGTGAGGCTGCATGGGGAAACTGTCGGACGCGTCCTCAAACATCAAACACGGAGGGCTGGAAGACAAAACAATCCCACTCCTAGGGTGTATCTACCCATGAGACTGAGACCCCCTCCCACTAAAACTTATTCTTGAATGTCCAGGGCAGCCTTTTCCCTACAGCCAAAGAGTGCAAACAACCAGAACCCCCATCAGTTGATGAATGAGTAAATGCCACACAACCATGGCAGAATACCGTTCAGCCAAAGGAAGAGGGAAGTGGAGACAGGCAGTGTGGACGGACCTTGAAAACGTTACACTCGATGATGAAACCAAGTCCCCTGTGTGGTGGCATGGAGACAGGGGAGTCAAGGAAGAAACTGTGACACTTGTAAATGGATGTCCCCTGTAAGTGGTAAGTGGCCCTGAGAACTGGAGGGAGCTGGTTTAGGGCTCTCTGCTCCCCTCTTCCTTAACCACATAAGGACAAAGAGTTCACCCCTTTGACCCTTCTGTCCTTTCTGCCCATCTGAGGGAAAGTCCTTCACTGGATGCTGAACCCGCCAATACTTTGGTTTCGGACTGACTAGACTCCAGACTATGAGAATGATAATGTGGGCCAGGGTCAAAACCCACCAGCCCCTCTGTCTCTGCCAAAGGGCTTTTAAAGGAATGCCAAGGGGTGGAGCCATTCAACAATGATAAATCCCTGTTGTTCACCAATCATTAGGTCTCAGCCAGGCATGGTGGCACATGCCCGCACTCAGGAGGCTGAAGCAGGGGGTTTGCTGCAAGTTTGAGACTGGATTGGGTGCATAGTGAGTTTCAGGTCAGTCGGGGTTACAATGGGAGACTTTGAGGGAAGGACTGAAATCATTCAGTCTCAGTGTTCTGTGGCAGCAAGAGTGCCCTCAGATACTAAATGGAAGAAGTCAGACAGGAAGGCCACTTAGTGGGATTGCAAGTGTCACTCTGTAGTGACACATTTGTCTAGTATGTGCGAGGTTCATTCTGTTCCCAGCACGGAGTTGGAGGAGAGAGAGCATGTGATTCTACTTGATGAAAAAAATCTAGAACAGGTGAGGCCAGACAGAAGCTCCCACCTCAGGTGCAGGGCAGAGTGCAGAGTGGTAGTTTACGGGTACAGGGGTTCTTTATGGGAAACGCAGCTTTTCCTTCCATGGTGAAAGTATTGATCATGGTGAGCCTTAACTGCGTCAACTACCAGGAGCCTGAGTCAGAGTTCATTCAATCAGCAGCCGAAACAGAAGTGGGCTGCAAGATGGGGCTCTTCTGTATGTCCCTCTGACCCTGGCACTTTCCTAATCCCTGACCCTCCCCCAATGGCACCAGGCTGCAGTGCTCCTGTGGGGCCTGTATCTCCAGGATGAGCTGGGTACCCTGGATTTGGAGGCTGCCATAAGAGGTTTTCCCTGCTGGCTCCCAGGGGTGGGAGGAGTCCAGTACGAGCTGTTCAATCCACTCTCACCCAGTGTGTCTGCACACCATACGCCTTCCACAAGCCTCCAGCAGCATCTCTCCCAGGTGTCTCTGTTTTCTGTCTGAGCATCATGTGCTCATCTGCCTCTGCCACTGAAAAGTGACCTTTTTGTTTTTGTTTTTCGAGACAGGGTTTCTCTGTGTAGTTTTGGTGCCTGTCCTGGATCTCCCTCTGCAGACCAGGCTGGCCTCGAACTCACAGAGATCCACCCGGCTCTGCCTCCCAAGTGCTGCGATTAAAGGCTGCCTCCCAAGTGCATGGGATTAAAGTGCCGCCCAGTGAAGAGTGACCTTTTAAGTCTAGTTTAACTCTGTGGCGCTAATCTAGCGGTCACAGGCTGGCCTCCGGATGCCCCAGTCTGTGTCAGGACACTATCATGCCACAAAACGCTTTCCACTTTAGAACCAAATCCATTGCTCTTTTACAGTCACTCATAGAAGTGTGGCCTTCTGTCTTGTCTTGAAAACTCTGCCAAGCTAGCCACAAGGGTCCTTGGCCCAGCTTCACAGCCCTGTCACCTTTTGACAGGCAGATTTCTGCAGGGGAAGAGCATGGCCCTGCTCTCTGCAGAAGCCACAGTGGCTGGCCTACATAGAGCTGAGTGACACGGGCTGATGAGGATGTCAGAAGTGACAGCTCTGGGAAGAGGACAGTAAAGGGAAGTGGTTTGGGAAAAAAAAAAAAGTTCCTGGACCAGCAGAACAGTTCAGCAGGCAAAAGTGCCAAGTTTGATGACCTGAGTTTGATCCTCAAGATCCCCATGAAAGAAAAGAACTGACTTCTGAAGCTTTAGTGCGTGTTTGTTTATGTGTGTGTGTGTGTGTGTGTGTGTGTGTGTGTGTGTGTAATCTCACTTAGCATTATTCTCAAGGCACAGCACTCTCCTTTGAATTCAGGTTTCCTGACCCCCACCCCCACCCCCCAGTTTTCTGGCAGACTGTCAAGGGTGCTAGAGTTTGCCCCTCGTCTTCCTGGGTATCATTGCAGTCACCCATCCTTCTCTGCCAGCACTGGCCAGCAGTATCTTTAGTGTGGCTTTCCTTGGGGCCACAATATCTTCTTTGCCATCTATGAGCGCTGAGTTCAGTGGTATTCAGTTTCTACTCTTCTATTTCTTTTCTTTTTAAAATTTATAAATTGGTTTTGATTTTGGGCTGGATCTAATCCTTTACACCCCGTGTGACAAAGCTTGTTGCCTGACTCTGGCTTGTGTTATCTCTCTGGAATGGCACTCTCCGGGGGTGTTATTTCCAAGACCCTGGGTTTGTCTGAAGGCAGTTTTCCCCTTGCGTTTTCACTGGAACACAAAGAGGCAAGTGAAATATGCGCAGACTGAAGGTCTCCCTGCTTCTCCAAACACCAACCAAGGTAGAGCAATGACCTCTGGGTCCTGCCACCTCTTCCTCCAGATCAGGGTCCCCAACAGTTCGAAGCCACTCAAGCAACTACCAATGTGCAAAGGCCACTCAGCTGGGTCATGGAGGATTACGATTGCCGTAGATAGAATGGGCGCTTTTTAAAGAGCGGGTTGAGGAGGTCGGGGGAGGGGTGGTGACTTTCACCCCACTCCTAAAGCTGAAACACTGTGGCAGCTTCTACTCTCTGGAATGACTCAAGGCTACATTGTATCACTTACTGAAGCCTGGGAGAGGGAGGCACAGATTCTGTTCCCTCCCTGAGTGCTCCCAGAGAGCCACTTTGTCAGCCCCCTCCTCCTGACACTGCCCGAAGCTGTGGGTCCACCAGGCTGTCCATCTTTCCTTCAGCTGCAGAGATAAGCAGGAGGGGGCTCTCTCTCCCACCTGAGGTACCTGGAGTTCACGTCTTAAGAGGTGGTGTTTTTCCCCAGAGAGGCTACCACGAAGTCTCCTTCCTTGGGGGCTGGCATCCCGGGCAGCTCCCTGCATCCTGGAAAGAAACGCAGACAGTGGTCGCCAGGCTTGTGGGGCAGTGGAGATCAGGCTCTGAACCTTGCAGCTCTGTTCCCTCTCACTTCTCTTCTTGCTTCATAACCCTGAGCTCAGCCCCTAAGTTCACAAAGCTGTCGCCTTGCCTTGGGGGCACAGCATCCTTGGGGACCACATAAGCTTCAGTTAAGCAGAGTATCCAGTTCCTGTCCCTGCCCAGGAGAGGTCACCCCCGCAGATCTGGGGAGCTTGCAGACTCAAAGCAAACTAAAGTCTGGTCTCTGAGGCCACCCCCTTCCATCACAGGCAGAGTGCTCCCCCAGCTTTCCAGAGGAGTAAGCCCCCCAGATCTAGGTCTCCAGTTCAGGATTATTCTGGCCAGATCTACCCCAAAGCCTTTTCATTTCAGGTTTACCTGGCTCTGTCACACTGAGGGCCACCTGCTCTTCAGTTCAAGCCTTGATTTCTTAGATGGGAGAGGACACTTCTGCCAGAATATTCCTCTCCTACCTGCCCTTACAGGTGGACTGGCTGTTCCAGTGGGACATCCAAGGAGCAAGCATTGTCCACTGACAGCACTGACCTCGGCTTATGCCACTTTCTAACTTTCCATTTCAATTCTGAGGTGTTGGGGGCAGGAAAGCCCAAGTACCTGCCCATCTAACCACTTTCCTGTGTAACTTGAGCGGGTCGGTTTGGTTTCTTGAGTCTCCATTTCCCATCTGTAAAATAGAATAGATGATGGGTGTTTCCAGTCATTGTCTGGGTCCCGAGGGCAGGTTAGAGTTGTGCATTTTGTGAATCCTGAGCCTGCCTCTCAAACACTGGGCTTCTGAGCCCAGGACGTGTCTTCCAGGCAGTCAGCTTTGACAGGTAATGCTTGGAAGGCTCTTCCTCGAGGGCAGAGGGTAGAGGGCAGCATTCCTGGCAGCTTGCAGGTACGGCCTGCCAGATCCCCTGGCCCCGCCCAGCAGTGTTCCAGTTTCTGATGTCAATTAGTTCTGCTGACTTCATCAGGGAGGAAGCTTGGGAAGATAAGCAGGCAGGCCAGAGTGTAAACAAGAACAGGGGCTCCTGGAGGGGGCGGAGCTATGAGCCCAGACAGGACTAAATCGGAAGGGGCTGCAGGTGGCTGAAGACCTCTCCCGTGGGTGAACCAATGGGAAGGACACTCACGTTTAGAGGTAATGTGTGCGACTAACAGGACCTCATGAGCCAGGCAGCCCATGTATGAGAGAACACCCAGGAGAGAGGGTGCTGGCCACAGATTTACATGACCCAGACTATCAGGTCAAAAGCTGAATGCTTCCACTTGTAGACTGGACATATGACAGGGGGCTGGGGCCAGGCAGTGTCTGGCTCAGGAGGGCTCCAGGCTGCTCGGGATGAGCCTGTGCCCCTGGTCTTCCTGTTACCCAGGGCCCCTCTAAAACTGAAGTCAGCTGTGCATGAACCAGGCCAGCAAGAGGCTGGGGCATCATTGGCTGTAAAGAGCACGGCGCAGGCCAAGAGGTGGCTGTGAGTAAGGCGGGTGGGTAGGAACCTCCCAAACAGACATGTAAGAAGGTGTTTGGATCAGCGCCCAGTAAGGGAAGAATATACCAGTCAGGGAAGAGATGAGCCAGGTAGCTTGGGAAGCCATCAGGGGAGCTGGTTGTGCATCCCAGCATAGAGGCCCACCTCCCAGGGGTGATCCAGGCTGGGTGGGTGCTTCCAAGCTTCTGTCAGCTGCTCTGCCATCTGCTTTCACACCCAACAACTGATGAGCCCCAGGGAATTCACAGGCGGCAGGGGCCTGGCAGCTGCTCTGGGCACAGCAGCCTCCTCCCTCCCTCCCTCAATGCCGGGCTCGCTATGGTCCACAGCCTGGAGAGTCTGAGCCCGTCGTTTCCTATTGCCTATCTCAGCTGCACAAAGTGTGTCTTCCCAGAGCACAGCCCTCAGTAGGCTGCCCTCCCCTGGGCAGAGGCTCCCCAGCCAGTCCTGGAACTGCAGCTACCCAGACTGGCAGGCTAATGCACTAGTTGGCCAGGGCCACCACAGAACCAACCGCTGGACCCAACCCCTGGTACTGTTTCCTGATTCTGGCTCACAGAGGCTGGAAACCCAAGACCAAGGGTCCAACCAGGCTGGTGTCTCCTGAGGCCTGTAAGACGGCCATTCCTGTGGTGCTTTTCATAGCTTGTGTTTTGTGTACACAGCCCTGACATCTGGGTTCAAATCTCTCCTATACTACGTCTACTACTCAAACTGGATTAAGCCTACCCTAATGGTCTGACTTGTCTGTACACGTGTTCATATGTGTGTAGGTGCACATATGTGGGTGAGTGTGTCTGGAGGCCAAGTGGCAATCTCTGTCCACGGACTAAGCTATTGCCCCACCCCCGAAAGGGCTCATTTAATCACCTCTTTAAAGGCCCTGTTTCCAAATATGTCACTAACTATGGCACTCAAACTCGGAGCTTCAGAATTTGAAAGGGGGTACACTTCAGCCCACAGCAGCCACTGGGGGACCCTGGGTCTCATCAGTGGGCTGTAAGTCCACATAGGGACCCCTCTTCAGGTTCTCTAGTGTTTTGTGGTCTGTGTCTTCCAGGAAGGAGCTCCTGTAGGGCTAGGGTGAGGTCAAGTCCTCTTGGGGTACCTTGTCTGGCTACAGAATTCTGGGGTCAATGTGGACGTTTATGAAACACTGAATGATTTTCCAGGTATGGTGGCTCATACTTTTTTTTTTTTTTTTTTTTTTGGTTTTTCGAGACAGGGTTTCTCTGTGTAGCTTTGCGCCTGTCCTGGAACTCACTTGGTAGCCCAGGCTGGCCTCGAACTCACAGAGATCCGCCTGGCTCTGCCTCCCGAGTGCTGGGATTAAAGGCGTGCGCCACCACCGCCCGGCCATACTTTTAATCTTAGCACTTGGGAGTCAGAGACAGGTAGGTGAATCTTTAAGTTCAAGGCCAGCCTGGTCTACAGAGTGAGTTCCAGGACAGCCAGGGTTGTTACACAGAGAAACCCTGTCAAAAAAAAAAAAAAAAAAGCAACAACAATAATAAATAAACTGCTGAATAATTAAATGTGAAGGGGCAGGAAGTCCAGAAGAAGAGGCTAGTGTTCTAGAGTATCTAGCCCCTGCTGCCCTTGCCTGGCACAACCTCTCACATATAACAGTGGTGGCATCACCCACCAAGTTTCTGAAGAAGTTTCATGTCCACATTCTCCAAGCCTCATCATGACAACCGTGGAAAGAAAGAGCTGGAGCAACCCTTGCTACAACTAACCACTGAGCTAGATCAGGTCCAGCTTGCTCAAGGGTGGGGCTAGGATTCTGCCTGGGCCTAAGCAACACTGTAGGGCTGTCCTGGAGCCTAGAACTGGGCTGGGCTTCCAGGAAGTGAGTGATTCATGGCTGTTACTGCCCTGCAGATGGCACTGACAGGATCAGCCCTGCACCTAAGCCACCCAGTACCAGGCACAGCAGCAAGGCAAGGTAGACTTGGCCCCCTCTGTCTCAGTCTGCAGCAGCAGGAGAGCTGCAGGAGAGCACGGGTGGCTCTCTAGCCTTCTGGAAGGCAGACCTTGCTGCGAGGCTTGGCTCTGTCACATCAGAGCTCTGCACTCTTGGACCATATAGCATACTCTTTGCTGGTCAGATGTGAATAGATGCCATCGTGCAACCAACATCTGATTACTAACGCTATGTGCAGGGATCATTTTAGACATTGGAGACAGTAAGGAACAAGTCCATATGCCTATGGAATTTTCACGGAGAGGAGCAGACATGCCTTGAGGGCAGTGCTGAATACAGCCCTGCTGTGCCTTGGGACCCTTTAGCTGGGGGGGTGGGGGGTGGGGGGGAGTGTCCAGGGAGACAGACCTCCCTGAGGTAGACGTGTTGAGCTTGTCTCACGTTAATTAGCATCAGGAATAGCAGCTCAAGTTCCTTGGGCCTGTTAGAAAGGGAACAGTCAAGTGACTGACAGGAAGACACCATCCCTTGTCTCTCTGGAGGCTGTAGACCCACATCCATCCACAGATTCAGCTGCCATGCCCTTGGAGGGTAGCCCTCATCCTCCTCGTCCTCCTAGCCTTCCCTTGCCTGCTGGGGCCAGCCTGCAGGACTCTTCCCAGCTGCCAGGAGACCAGGACCTAAAAAAGGGACGGATGCCCAAGGTCACATTGCTCGTGGGCACACACCGGCAGTTCCAAAGCCTCCCACCGCCAGTACACGACTTCCTGGGCAGCATTTCTGCGCTGCTGGGGATTCTGCCTGTCATTACAGCCCTCCCCCGGCCGGCGCGCGTGCAGACCCAGCAGCGCCCAGGAGCAGCGAGAGCCACAGCCTCGCGACGTTCAGCGCACCCGGCCTCTTCGATCGCCCTCCCCACGCCCGGGCCCCTCAGTCCCCTCCTCTGATCCCTCCCGTTTCTTCCTGGGCCCCCACTCTGCTCCCCAGCCTAGGCTCCCTCGATCTTCTGCTCCTTCTCTGTCCCCAAGTCCAGCGTCTCCTGTCCTCACCCTGGTCACCTCCTCCCCGGTCCCCACACCCCGCCCCGGGTCCCCGCCGCCCTCTCTGCGTACCGGGTGACGCAGCACCGCCTCCCGCTCCCGCCTCCCCGCGACTCCGCCGGGCTGACTGCAGGGGCCGCTAACGGTCCCGCGCCCCCCGGCGTCCGCGCGCCCCGCGCCCGGCGGACGAGGCCGCGCCGGCGGCGATGGGCGCGATGGGGGCGGCGGAGCCGCTGCAGTCGGTGCTGTGGGTGAAGCAGGAGCGCTGCGCCGTCAGCCTGGAGCCCGCGCGGGCGCTGCTACGCTGGTGGCGGAGCCCGGTGACCGGGCCCTGCGCGCCCGATGCTAGTGAGTGTGGCGGTCCGGGGCTGGTGGGGCCGGGCGCTGCATCCACCCTGGGCCTGCGCTTTGGGCAGGCCGGGGTTGGGGGAACCCCGGAGGGAGGAGGAGACTCGGGGCACCGGGAGAGGCGGCCAGGGCACTCAAGGCGCAGGGGATCCGAGGTGCAGGGCCCTGGTGCCGGGCGGTCTCAGAATTTCGCGGCCGCTGGCGGGGAACCGTCCCAGCGCGGAGGGCCCAGACATTCCAGGAACTGGGATGACAAAGCCTCTGGAGGTGCTGGAGGGGGAGGGGAAGGGCGAGCGTCCGCAGCCCCAGAGCATCCGCGGGATCCCAGGGGAGGTCTGTTGCTGCTCAGGCACACCTGGACAGGACTGGTTTCTGGTCACCCCCTTCCTCCAATACAGTGAACCCAAGTACAGACACATGCTTCTCTACCGGAGAAGCCCAGAAGTGCCCTGGAGGGACTTCCTGTGATTAGGCAGTTGAACAAGGGGCTTTGACTTTCTATTGGGGTATGCACCCTGCTCAGAGGCCCTCAGGACTGAGAGAAGAGTCGCTTAGATAAACACGGGAAAGATGCAACCCACCCGCAGTGGCTGAGATGGCACAAGGACACTGGAGCCTCTCTCTCCCGACTTCGTTGCAGGTCTATCCTGGTGGCCTAGGGATTGACAGAGGTTTATAAAAATGTCATTAAGTCCTCCTTAAAAGGAGGATTACAGAAGATTGTGTGTGGACACCAGGGGTGAGGGCACCCAGGGGTGGCCTTGTGGATGTATTCCGTTTCATTCATTCATTGCTTTTTGTTTGGTTTTGGTTTTCCCTATGTGGCTCAGGTCAGCCTCAAACTGGGATCACAGACATGTGCCACCAAGCCCAGCTTTATTTTTCTGTCTCCCTCTTTCTTTGCTGGGGATGATGGAATCCAAGAGCTTGCTAAACAGACTCTACCACCAAACCGCAAGCATGCCCTCCAAGTGTCCCTTGAGTGCCTGCCTGCTAGAGATGAACCTAGGGATCCTAGCCTGGGACACATGTGAATTCTCTGCTGCAGTGGAGGACATTTTCCATTTAAGGAAGCAGAGAGGGACACATGGGGATAAATGTGTCAGGACTTGGATCCTGAGAAGAGGCTCTGAGAGTAGGTATCAAGGGTGAGCCACAAAGGGATGGTACTGACCAGTACAGGGTGGGCTGAGCAGACCTCTCTTATATGATGCATTTGCCCAGACAGACCTGGAGTGCTGATGTGCACATGGGGGTGGGGGGGATGGGTGATGTGCACATGGGGGGGGGGGGTGATGTGCACGTGAGGGGAGGCTGATAGAGGCAGGAAGAATCTCAGGGCATGGGTGTGTCAGGGTCAAGGTTGATGGGGGAAACAGCTGAAGAACAGGGTCTAGGACTCCTGCGGCCTGGCAGGCTGAAGTGGGCACTGACCTTTATTGTGGGTGTAAAGGGACCCCCTGGAAGGTGGTATCCAGCTTAACTTTTTACAAAGACTTGATGATCTCTTCAGGGAGAGAGAGGAGGGACAGAAGAGAGTGGAAGGGAGGCAGTCAACCCAGTCTGGGTGGAGATGGGGGAGGTAAGGGAGGGTTGGGAGTAGTGGGATTGACTGTCACTTTGAGAAGGGACCTGTGGGAGAAGCACGGATTTTTTTTTTTCTATTAAAAATTGTCGAGAGTGGGAGTAGCGCGAGTCAGGACTCTCTGGCGGACATTCTGAGTTTGGGCCGTCAATCATCCGTCCCCTCATTCAACCCAGAATGGCTTTTTGGTGTCCTGTAGGTAGCTGGAGCTGTAAGTAGTCTGACATTGTGCCGTGAGGCCCTGCAGACTGAGCTTTGGGTAGGTAGGGCTAAGGTGGCCTCAGACTGGTGGCCAAGCTGGTTGCTGGCCTTGGGATCAAAGCAGCATTGTCTTTGGAGTGCCTTTCCGTGGCTCAGTGCCTAGGACTTGATTACCCTGAAGTCGTCCTATGTGCCCCCGGCCCCTCCCGGAGCCGCTTCTCTCTTGTTCTCTGACTTGACCACTGTTTTGCCTAGGCCTGAGGGGGCTGAGTTTCAGGTCAGCAAGCCCCCACCGCGGCCTAGAGCCTAGGCTTCGGATAGGGTGATGGCACGGGGTGCTCAGGATGTGTGAGCTGCTGGCCTCCGCTCTGTTTCATACACACCCACTGGCCTCCGAGGTGGGGGAGTTCTACTGGCCCAGCTGGGGCTTGCAGCTGAGCAAACCCAACTCCCAAAAGAGCCAGCGCTGCCTCTTTTGGGTCTGGGAGGCCACGAAGGCACAGAAAGGGCCCCGCCTCTACTTCATGAGCTGTGGGGGTGGGGCATCACCCGTGGCCTGTTGTCAACGTGGGCACAGTTGTGGTTTCTGGTGCCCACATTCGAGGTTTGGTGTGCTGGCAGTGTCTACTTTTAGCCTGCTTGTTTTTAGCTGGCAGGTGGCTTCCACAGCTGGCCAGCTCTGTGGCGTGAGTATTGTGTCACCCCTGTGAAGTGTGGGGCTACTTTTGTGTGGGCTCATCCATAACCATCTGGTAGCAGTCCAACAGACCCGGCCTCTCTAGGACTGCTGCGAGGGACCAGTCCATAGGCTGCCTCAGAAAGTACCCGGCTCACTTCCCCTTCTCTGGTACTCTCCACCTCTCTGGAAGTAGAAAAACAAGTTGACAAACTCTAGCTTAGGAGGGAGAGGGGAAGGGAGATGCCTTCTCCCTCCCTCCCCTCCCCGTTTTCAGCCCCCAAAGAATTAGGCCTACTTTATAGAGTGAGGTGAGCTCGAAGTCTGTGGAGTCAGGCGAGCAGGCTATGAGCAGTTCGTGGCACATTTAATTCAGTTAGCCAGGGGCACTGCCAACCTGCCACTCCCCCAGGTGTGTCTGGACACACCTGAATTGCCTTGGTTGGGAACCATGGGCAGAGGATTGTGCAAAAACAGATTGTAGGACGTGTGAGAGGCTGGCAACCTTGGAATTCCAGGACGGCCCTTAGGGGCACTGTGCACCCAGCTGGGTATTTCGACTACTCCTTCATTCTCTCCTGTTTTTAGACGTGCAAACATGGACCGATTTGCTTGGTCCCTAGGTGCCTGGTGCACAGCAGGAGCAGGCTTTGAACCCAGGCACACACTCTTTCTGGGGCAGGTGTCACACTGGCTGCCAAGTGCCCAGCAACAGAGATAAGGACTCAATCTTGGGAAAGAGAGAGAGATATCAGCACTGGAGGAAGCTGAGCCAGCAAGTGCTTCTCTAGACCGCAGCCTGAGCGGAAGTGGGGCAGACTGAAAACAGGAAATGGGGGGGGGGCTTCTTTAAGTGGGTCACTAGTTGAACTTGAGGCAGCCCGGAGTGATTGATATCTGGGCTTCTCCCCATGGCTGCAGTAAGGCACACTATCAATTCTGCATTAGTTCTTTCAGAGTACGGGCTGTGTGTCTGTGTGTGCTGAGGGCTCAAGCATGGCATTGGGACCACTGCCTAGGCTCCACCTTTGTGGGGAGAACCTCCCTTATCTTCTACCAGCCTCTACCAGCCTCCACTTGGGTGCCCCAAAGCTGGCAGTAAATTCAGCTGGCAGTAAGTTCATGGGCAAGTCACTGCTGTCTTTGCCTACATCCTCATCACACACGACCCTCCCACCATGGGTCAAGAATGAGCAAGTTTACGAAAATAAACCATGGGACTGAGGGTACAGCTCAGCTGTAGAGTGCTTGCCTAGCAGACACCAGGCCCTAGGATGGGCCACCAGCACCCCCTTGCAAAAAAAAAAAAAAAAAAAATATATATATATATATATATATATATATATATATGTGCTGATTTAATAAAATCTTGAAAGCAGAGGCTGGAGATATAGCTCTGTAGCTGAGAGTGTGTACTGCTCTTGCAGAGGACCTGAGTTTGATTCCCAGAACCCACATCGAGTAACTCACAACCACCTGTAGCTACAGCTTCAGGGGGGATCCAATGCTTCTAGAGTCAGTGGCACCTGTACTCACCTGCACTTACTCTCACACACACAGACATAATTTTAAAATAAAAATAAATCTTTTTTAAAAAGTCTAGAAAGCAAAAAAAAAAAAAAAAAAAAAAAAACAAGCCGGGCGGTGGTGGCGCACGCCTTTAATCCCAGCACTCGGGAGGCAGAGCCAGGAGGATCTCTGTGAGTTCGAGGCCAGCCTGGGCTACCAAGTGAGTTCCAGGAAAGGCGCAAAGCTACACAGAGAAACCCTGTCTCGAAAAAAAAAAAAAAAGTCTAGAAAGCAGAAAAATTACTTTAGAAATTATGCATACAAAGTGCTTAATGCTTGGTGTGATTGTGTATGCAAATATGTATGAAAGGAAAGCGAGGAATAGCTATAGGCTATTTTCCATATTATCTTGCTGTTGCGAACATGGTTTTTTATTTTTTGTTTTAAAGAGCAGCTTCACTGAGATCTGATTCTCCTGCAATCAAATCCTCATATTTTAAGGGCACAGTTCCATGTGTTTTGATAACTCTGCACCTGTGTAAACATAGTCAAGATAGGGCACAGGAGCCACAGCCCAGAACCTCCCCCTCCCCCTGTGCAGTTCTGGGGTAGATCTCTGCCCAGCAGTCTCCAAGGGATGGGTTTCACTCTGCAAGTGGTTCATAGAAATACAGCCACACAACTCATCTCACTGGTTTTATCTATCTATCTATCTATCTATCTATCTATCTATCTATCTATCTATTTCAAGACAGAGTTTCTCTGTGTAACAGTTCTGGTTGTCCTGGAACTCTGTTTGTAGACCAGGCTGGCCCCAAACTCACAGATATCTGCCTGCCTCTGCCTCCCG